GAATGAGCTACTTAATGACCCTTGAATGAGCTACTTAATGAATGAGCTACTTAATGAATGAGCTACTTAATGAATGAGCTACTTAATGACCCTTGAATGAGCTACTTAATGAATGAGCAACTTAATGACCCTTGAATGAGCTACTTAATGAATGACCCACTTAATGAATGACCTACTTATTGACCCTTGAATGAGCTACTTAATGAATGAGCTACTTAATGACCCTTGAATGAGCTACTTAATGAATGAGCAACTTAATGACCCTTGAATGAGCTACTTACTGAATGACCCACTTAATGAATGACCTACTTATTGACCCTTGAATGAGCTACTTAATGAATGAGCTACTTAATGACCCTTGAATGAGCTACTTAATGAATGAGCTACTTAATGACCCTTGAATGAGCTACTTAATGAATGAGCTACTTAATGAATGAGCTACTTAATGAATGACCCTTGATTGAGCTACTTAATGAATGAGCTACTTAATGAATGAGCTACTTAATGACCCTTGAATGAGCTACTTAATGAATGAGCTACTTAATGAATGAGCTACTTAATGACCCTTGAATGAGCTACTTAATGAATGAGCTACTTAATGAATTACCTACTTAATGACCCTTGAATGAGCTACTTAATGAATGAGCTACTTAATGAATGAGTTACTTAATGAATGAGCTACTTAATGAATGAGCTACTTAATGAATGACCTACTTAATGAATGAGCTACTTAATGAATGGCCTACTTAATGACCCTTGAATGAGCGTGTTGTGTGTGGTACGGAATTCGAATTGAAACATGGCAGCTGAAATATTAACAATTTTATATTGTTTGAAAAAAAGACGTTGTCATACTAGAAGAAGGTTTTGGGTTCATAGCATCCATCAACGAGGAGAAACTTACGGCGAATTCCACCATCTTGTAGGTGAAGTTTTAAGTGATGAGGAGAAATGCCTATCATACATTCGGATGAAACCAAGTACTTTTTACATGCTTCTTGAATTGATTGGACCCCATATTGCAAAGAGAGAGACAAATTTTCGAAAATCGATCCCTGCTAAAGAACGGCTTGTGATAACTTTGTTTTTTGTAAGTGTTTTACGGCGCTCGCAACTGCATAAGGTCATATGAGCGCGCGGGACACACTAAACTTTTTCAGTTGGTAGGAAATTTTGAATTTTGCCCGGGTAGCGGCCGAAGCCTACTC